GACACATCCAGTGACTGGCGAGACCGGCCAGCGGGAGGGGCGGGAGGCGGGGCTCTCGTGTGAGACGGCGATGGCAACGGCGGAGCATCATCCTGGAAGTATCCCTCCTCTTCAATCTTCGGGGTTCGCTGAGAGTACGGTAGCTTTTGGGTGGAGTAGTTATAGGGGTCGTACTCGTCATCGTCCCTTGCTGGCGGAGGGGGAGGAGGAGCTGTTCGCGGTACATCCACAGAGCGGCGCTTATCAGCCGTCGGCACCGGTGGCGGAGCAGCTCTGGGCGGCGGGCCAGTCGGGATAGGTGGCGGCATGGTCGGTGGTAGGGCTGGGGATGTGGGTGATCTGACTGGCGTGTTGTCGTCGAGACTCGAGTCCCTGGCGTGAGATTTGAGTGCGTCTTTGTGGGGAACCGACGACGCAATGTCAGTATCGTAATCTCCCTCATACTCTGTAGCCTCGTCCTCATCGTCACCCTGTTGAGGAGGTCTGATCGGTGGTGATATGGGTGATGCGACGTGCATATCCTGCGTCGACTGACGGCTCAGACTACCGCCTGGAGGTGGTGGGGGAGGCGGTCGCGATTGTGCTGTAGGGATAGGAGGAGCAGCTCCAGGGATAGGAGGCGGAATTCTGCTCATCCGCTTGCCCGAGGAGCTGGTGGGAGATGTTGGTGAGAATTCGGAGCCGGGAATTGGGGGTGGCGAGCGTGCGGCAGTTGCAACTGGCGGCAGTGGCGGGGGTGCTCGCGCTTCTTCGGCCTTGGGAGTGTCTAGGACACCTCCTGATAGCTCATCGTCGGACACTGAGCCATCACTGGGAGATTTGAGCCCAGAGGTAGCGGGTCGAGCTGGAGTACTATGAGCCATTGTCTTGAAGCGAACTAACACAGGGTCAAGGACTTACAATCGCTGGGAACGGGCGGCGCCGCAGGCCGGGATCCTGGAACAGGAGGAGCTCCTGCGGGCTCACGGGCAGGGACTTTCGCAAAATTAGCAAATGCAACTAAGACAACAACCGTCTTTGACTCACGAATAGGAGGTGGGCTCGTAATTGGCTCGTCTCTGTCATCGTCGACTTCAATCGTTCGTGGAGGCGGAGGTGGCGCTCTAGGGGATGTTGGCGGCTCAGGCTCAGTAGCCTCTTCTTGACGTTTGGGTGCGCTCAGCCCTGGCAATGCCATCATGCCCGGTACGGCGACACGGCTTGTAGGCGATGTCTCCTCTTCGTGCTCCTCCGTCGGCGATGCCTCCACTGGCTTCTCGATTGTCTTCTTCTTCTTGGGTATAGCTGGAGCAGCCATTGGAATCCCAAACATGCCGTGCATTCCCATGCCGCCGCTCATTTTCGCCATCCTGGCTCTGAGCTCCTCCTTCCTGCGAACCTCGGGGTCAATATCGTCCTCCTCCTCTTCTTCCTCATCTCCGCCCTGCTCATCGGCTGCGTCCTCCTCTTTTCTTGCTTCGATAGGAGAAGCGACTTGGGGCCGCAGGACAGGCCGTGGAGCCGCGTCACTATCGTCGCGTTCGGTGAGATCCTCAGGGCCTTCGGTAGTGTCGCCAGCCCCAGACATGTCCGCTTCATTGCCGTCATGGTAGCTCTCGGTAGCAGGGCCCTTGGAAGGCTTGCGCCGGGGCGCGGGCGGCACACGAGCTGAATCTATCGAGCTCCGGCCTGCTACCTCCTCCGTATCGCCCTCAGGTGCAGGGGCAGCAGCAGCGCCGGCATCCTCAGAAGCCTCCTGGCTGTCGGTGCGCTTCTTAGGTGGTGGTCGTGCAGCCTTCTTTTTGGCAGCGGCCTCTGCGTTACGCTGTGCTTGTTCCTGTTGTTGTCTCTGAAGAAGAGCAATGCGCTCCTTCAAGGTGGTCGGCTTCGGCGCATCCTCACCATCTTCACCAGAGGGACCAGGAGCCATGCCGGCCTTCTCAGCATTCTCCTGGGCCTCTGCCTCTCTTTCCAGAATTTCCGGGTCCTCGTCTCTTCGGTAGACCTTTGCAACCGGTGCCTGCGTAGGCGGGGGAACATATGCATTGCGGCTAGGAGGAGGAGCCACAAACGGCTTCTTGATGTGATAGGAACCTTGGGCCAGCCCGCTCGGCTTAAAGGGCGTAATAGGAGCGGCCGAGGCTTTGTTGAATGCAGCAATGCGATCCTTGAAGGCATTGCTGGACGGCTTGGGCGGCGGGCCGGGCTTTGATGAAGCAGGCGCTGCCTTGGCGATGGGAGGCGACGTGGCTGCGGGGGACTCAGTTCTGGGAGCCGGAGCAACCGGGGTCGGTTCGGGGATTGGCTCAGGTGCCTTTACAGGCTCGGGCTCGGGAGCTGCGGGTGCTTCGGGCGAGGCAGGCACGGCAGCGGCCGGGGACGGCGCAGGTTTCTCGACCTCGGCGTGAGCATCTTGGGTGGGTTGAGGCTCGGATTGAGGAACTGGGGCGGGCGCCTCCGAGATGGGGGACGTGACCTCGGCCTCTTTCTTGGTTCGAGTTCTCGTTGGGCGAGGCGGGGCCTGGGGCTCGAATTTCTCGACGAAATTGCGAGGAAAGATTCCTTCGTGCTTGGCGCCAGAGTCGTCGACATACTCGCCAGTATACCAATCAGCATCCTCCTCGTCGGTCACGGTGATGATGACGCCGGCGGGGAACTGAAGGTCATCCTCGTGGGGCGAGGAGTATTCGAACAGGGCCTTGACCCTGAAAGGGGCGGTCGACATGGCCGGCAATGGTCGGGATAGTCCGTCGTCTTCGTCGATATCGTCGTTGTCGTCGGTTTGGCTTGTTGTCGGTGTGTTTGTGGGATGCGAACACCTAGACGGTCGAAAGAGGAGTTGGGTGCCGCAGGTCAGAGCGAGCGACGCTGGAGCTCTATGGTGTGGGGCAACGGAATCGGAACGTCGTCAGCAGCTTGGACCTTGCGTGGGCTGTTGGTTGCAGCAGCAGTAGCAGCAGTAAGGTACGCAGTAATAGTAGCTACGACTAGAAGCGAAAAGACACGAAAGGTCAGATTCGGGGCAGTAGCTACATCAACAACGGACTGCGATGTGCGAAGTAAGAGCCCGTGAGGGTGGAAAAACAAATGACAAAGGTGGATGATGACGGTGTGTGAGGTTGAGCGGGTTGCGTTGCGACTGCGCTGGCGATTTCTCAAACTCAGCGAGGGGGGACTTGGGGAGGAAGGGGGGGTGGGCAGTCGGAGAAGGAGGCTGTGAGGAAGAGACGGACGGGGGTGGAGGGATCTACAAGTTGGCGTGTCGACGTCAGCGCATGAACTTGTAACTCTCTTAGTTCAATGTGTCGGGGCAATTGGGGGCCCTGCCTGGGAAGTCTGCACTATGCAAACACAAGAGTCATGTATGCAGCCCCAGACACCCCGTTGACAAATGCATTCTCTTTTCCTGTTCAGGTGGCTCTTTGTCCATCTTTACCTTGGTGTGTCGTACCTAAGGTGAGCTAAGTTTTGGGGGTTGTATGTGGTGCATATTGGGTACTCTGGAGCCGCAATGCGCTATGCGGGTGAGATGGGCTCTTCGGGTAGGATGCGTCTGCCTAGACACACTGCAACCCTGGATTTGAGAACACTGTATGAATATCATGGTTGGTATTCATTTCCTGCTCTACGTGGATGGCCACTGTGTTCTGATCTGTTTTGTCGCTGTTGAACTGGACTGTCTTGGGTTCGCAAATTCATATTCAGTATCAAATGGCAGGCGATGCGATGGGGTTCTAAGGGCAGGGGTTCACCATAACGGTCATCCAAAGAACGGGCAGAGAAGTCTATCGCATGTCATTTGTCGCCTGCGTCTGCATTCTGCGCTTCGGCCGGACTTCTCATAGAATTCTATAAGAGTTGGAAGTCCATCACCGTTAGCTGCAACACTTCACAATGCTACACCCCAGGCTATGCCCTTGTGGAGGTCGGAATACCTTAGCAATATCGATACACAACAGCAGCGAACGGGAACAACGGCAGGACCAATATAGATCAGGCGCATGTGGCTCGGCCAGCTGGGGCCTCACGCAAATCGTGGTTGGCCAGAGAGGGTTCCGTAGAGAAGCAGATCAATGTAAAGGAACAGCTAGGTTAGGCACCTAACCTTCATGGCAACTGCAGTGTGAGGTCAAGTTGAGGTAAGCCAGCAAAGCCAGTTCCAGGCATTGGACGGTCCCACGACATGGTGCAACGGAACAATAGTAGTGCATTACGAGATGACCTGAAGGAGCTTGAGCAGGTCACTCGACCGTGGCGCAGGGCAAGCCCGGTGTTAACACGAGGCCAAACAGTCAAACCAAGTCCAGTTCCAGTCCAGTGTTGGAGGTGTGAGAGCGGACGGAAGATGCGCTACGTTTCTTCAGCCGCTTTAGCCAATCGAAATCCTCCCCAGAAGTCCAGTCGAGGGCCGCGGACATGGGGGAGCAGCTGGGAATGGAGGGGGGGAACTTGGAAGCGGAGGGACGGAGTTACGGCCGCTCAAGCCACCCGAGCACCCCGAGCCACACTCTCGCCAGCAAAGCGCCTGGTCAACCCGTCACACCAATGTGCCTGAGTGTAAAAGTCTTGGCGGCTGTTGACTGTTCCCCCTCAATCGTGGCGGCAGCCGGGTGGTGGCAGGAGGTACGTACTACGGCCCTGGTGCTTTGCTTCAGCTTGCGTGCTTCCATGCCGAACAGCGGATTCTCGATTGGGAGTGCTCTTGGTGCGAAGGGTGGGGTGTATATTCCCGACAGTAACACTTGCGGGATCGAACATTCTCCAATTGCTTAACAATTTTCACTTGTTCACGTCTTCAATCTACACTCACCACCACGCATCGTATCTTAATTCCAGCCTGTCTCACACGCGTAGCCACGACAACATTTTCCCTTCCGCGCACCGTATAGTCATTTTTCAAAGGCTCTACCACCTTCCATCGCCGAGCTCGAAGCTCCTACAGGGAAACATAAGACGACGCGCCGCACAGAAGCTAGACGAACCCCTCCCACAACCACCTCACGTACATAACAACATCCACCATGGCTACCGATGCCCGGCCACTGAAGGGCATCCTCAAAAAGGCAGCAGCCGGAGCCACCGCCTCCGGCAGCGGCGCCGCCAACGCCGTCCTCAATCCCCGAAAACAAGACCCCCGCGAAATCGCCCTCCAGCACGCCCGCATCATTCAGCAGCGCAAGGACCTAGAGCTCCAGATCCTCGAGAGCCTGGCCGAACTCTCCGAGTACCCCACCGAGCGCGGCAGCAGAACCTTCTCCGCCGCCAACCCTTCCCCACGCGACGTCGCCGACTTCAAGGCCGGCATCCGCCTCTTCCAGCCCTCCGACTACGACGACCTCATCGAGGAGCGCAACGTCAACGGCTTGTGCGGGTACACCCTCTGCGCGCAGCCGAAGCCGATGGCCTCCAAAGGTGGCGAGTGGAGGCTCATCAACTTTGGCAAGGCAGACTTTGATATCGTCAATCGCAAGGAGTCGGAGAAGTGGTGCTCCAAGGACTGCCAGCGCAGGGCCATGTATATCAAGGTGCAGCTGAACGAGTCGGCTGCGTGGGAGCGGGCGGGGTTGCCGGATATTGAGATTGAGCTGTATGGAGAGGAGAAGGCGAGGCAGGATGACCCTGCATCGCAGGCTTCGCGCGACCTCGCAAGTTTGAAGCTGGAGGAGGGCAGGAGGGCGGCCGAGGAGTCTACCACATTGGCCTTGGAGAGAGGAGAGACACGGGAGACGGGACAGCCTGGTAATACTTTCACTCTTGCCATTAGGGAGAGGGAGGTCAAGCCACCAACAGAGCATGGCGTGTTTGGAGATCCAGACGACTCCCATTTATTTGTTGAGGGACACAGACCGGGAGCTGGCAAGGCGCAGGCCATTGCTGAGGCTTCCCAATTTGAGGCACAACGTGACCAAGAAATGTCATAGTGTAATTCTACGGGCGGGAGGATACCAGAGATGATTGAAGCGTGGAGGAGGAGCTCATTTAGGCGTCGCAATGATCGGTCGCTCTATATAGATAGATTTGATACCCAAAGGCACACCGATTCGAAAGTTTAATCACTATATGCACAGCAGGCCTAGTTTCAGAAACCAGCTGCATTTCAACGGGAGGCTCAGTTGAGCTACAAGGTCAGAGGGACAGCATCACGGTACGCAAGAGAGGGATAGAAGATTGGCAGTCAAGCGTCATCTCCGGAATTACCCTAGAGAATCGGCGACACCTTGAGTGGGAAAACAGAACTTTTCTTTGTGGAAGTTCCTAGTGTGAACTCACTACCGTCCGTAAGACGCCTGTAGCAATGTGTATCATCATATGCCGTTTGCCGTAAAAGTCCGTTAAAAACCACCCAATTTTCCTTATCCACAATCGACCACGACTGAAATTTAGTCGCGGCGAGGGGGGCGGCCACCGAAGCGGCCTCCGCGCTCCTGGACCTGGGTCTGGCCGACGGGAGTGACGTTGACGGGGATAGCGTCGAACTGCGGGGCACGATAGTCAGTATTGGGGGACATCATTTCGAATCAAAGTAGAGGTAAAGACGTACGCCGAGGTGCTTGAGAAGGTCCTTGGTCTCGACATCGACCTCGAGCTGGCCGCTCTCGGTGTTCTGGGTGAAGTCGAGGGCGGAGACCTCGGGGACGAACTGATCCTTGCGCTCACGCTCCTCCTCCTGAAGCTTGAAGGAGATACCGCGGACGGGACCACGCTGGATACGCTTCATCAAGTGGGTGGTGTAGCCAGCAATCTGTAATTTCACTCCAGTCAGCAATTTTGCCCTCTCAACCTTTCCGTATCCCCAACACCGATGTTTGGAAGCGGTCTCGCGGGGACCTTCGTTCGTCCAACTCGTATGTTGCGTCTGGGTGGCTATCTTTTGCTGACCTTGTTGCGGAGGCGCTTGGAGGCGATGATGGCGATCTCATCGCAGATGCGCTTGTTGGTCTCGAAGTCCAGGGTGAGTCTGGGGTAGTACCGCTCAATGATGACCTTGGCGGACTTCTTGACGGTCTTGGTGCGAACGCGACCCATTTTGGCGGTACTGACTCAACGGAAGGGGGGTATTTGGCTGGGTGGAGGGAGTTGGTCGGTTAGTGAGGCTGGTCGGTCGAGATGTTCATGATAAGTTTCGCCGGGCAGATGCAATTTTGATATCTTTACACGAAATTTAGGGCCGTGGTGTGGGGTGCGGGACTTTCAGTGCACAGGCCATGGGGGCATGCATATGTAATCACACGTGACCTCGTGGATGGCTGGGACGAGACAGGAATCAGTGCCCCACTCGGATCCGGATCGGGTTCATTCCTTGGTACGGAGCCGATATAACACGAGGCTCTCGTCTTCACTGCTGGCTCCTTCCAAGGATGCACAATTGCGTCGAATTGGAAGAGTTGCGCTCCCATTCTCGGATTAGCATAATTTGACAGTTGAAGATATTTTCTGGCCTCTATTCCCGCCGACGGCCAGGTACAAGTAGGTATTGCAACAAGCTGAAGTACCTCATCTTGGCTAGATTAGTAGTACGATTGCTCCTTAACGATCATAGACTGTCAAGAAAGTGTCGAAATTTGCGTTGTATTCTTCTTATTTTACAATACCATACATAGTACACTCGGCACACATGCGAACGCCATACAAAGATGATTTCTTCATAGTGTGACTCAACTCCATGCTCTACTATCCTAGGCTCATTCGCGCCTAGTCTTATGACTAGAAGCGCTTCCAACGCTATCTTCACCACCCTCAAGAGTCAAGACCGTAGCTCTTCGAGCTGCCCACCGCGCTGGTTCCCGGTCTTTGGTTGTTGGTGTGCACATTTCGGATGAATCTGCGGGCCGGTGCGGGTGCTTCTACCTCGGTCTTGTCGTTGTAGATCTTGGCCTTTCCAACCAACTCCTTCAGAATGAGCTGGGCCTCTTCATTAGCCTCGCCAACGGTGATTTGGACACAACCGTCTGAGTCAATGCGAGCCGACGTAGGCGAAACGTAGGCCTTGGCGCCTCCCTTGATATCGGGGTCGAAAGTGACAACACCAGCCACCTTGTTGTTGCGTCCAACGAAGGCTCTGTGGTTGAAAGCTGTATCGCCCTGGGGAACATCCGTGATGAAACCGCCGACGCCCAGCTTGGCGCTGTTGGCTCCTGATCTCGGGGCGACGATACGAGCCAGGACGGGGGTATGTTGCGCCTGGGGGCCGTATACTGGGTGGTTCTCGGCGAAGTTGGATGTGCGGAGGTATGAGATACCGCCAGAGGGGTGAGAAGCGGGCGGGCCATGCTCAGCGTACAAGCTGGGGCGCTTGGTCTTCTCCGTCGACTTGCTGAAGTCGGTCAACGAGCTGGGCGGGTTCAGGGGAGCAAGGTCCAAGAATTCGCCGACAAGTGAGTACAAGGTGATGCGGTCGTTGCGCAACTTGCGAATGTACTCTGTGAGTTGCTCTTCCGTTACGTCGCCTGCGCGAAGAGCTGCGGGAGCATTCTCTCCAGCCTCCAGGGATTTCTGACGCTGCTTGCTCGTTTCATCGGATGCAATACGCTTCCGCAGGAAGTTGCGGAATGATGCTCGCTTGTTGCGGACAGCCTTGCGCAGGTATGCGTTGAATTCGCCCTCAGTGAGGCCAGCCAACCAGGGGCCCTGGAACTTCCACCTCTTCTCCTCGTTTTCGCCGTTACGCTTGACAGTAGTGAAGTCACCATCGTCTTCGAATACAGATTTCGCTCCAATGTGGATACCACCGAGACGCGACCGGTTGGTGCCAGGTAGTGTGACGGGCAGGTTGAGCTCGTGGAACTTCTGAAGAGACAAGGTGTGGTCCGCGGCGGAGGTGTAATCGGTGACGTTTTCGAAGCAGTCAATGTCCTTGATGCGGACAACGGGGGTCGATGACTTGGTCGTGGATCGAAGAGGCAGGGAGCGCTTGAAGCCCCAGTCACCAAGGGCCCTCGAGGATTCGGTAGTGGTGATGGATTGGTGCGTGGGATAAGGCGCGGTCGCCGTCGGGGATGCGTATCGAGCGATGGCGGCTGCTTGACCTCCGGGTTGAGGGAGCGGCTTGGGCACAGAGAACATCCGAGATGATCTCAGCAGCGCCCCTCCGGGCGACATTCGGGCAGACATGGCGGCTGGCGAAGCTCTCTACTGAGCTTGGTCGTCGTCAGTCGTATGTATCGCGGAACTGGTGACGAGCGTGCATCGTTGCGTGAGAAATTTCAATTGGAGTGCGGAAGAAGCCGGCGTACCTGATTGGGTGAGAGCTACCCCTGTCGTTTCTCCTGCTTCTCTCCACTGTCACCCGAAATGTCCATGTATGGTGCACAGTCTAAACCAATTAAGGGATAAGAGACACTGGGCCTTCAGTCTCAGAGGCTTCAAGTGGTAGAGACTGCGAGGGAACTTTGCGAAGTTGGATATTCCGACAATTTGCAAATTTCGAACTAGATAAAAGCCTTCGAACAGTATTTTCAGGCCTTAGCGAGGCACACAGAAGCTACCTCGGTATTTTATGGCTTAAGGTCAGGTACATAGGATGGGGTTTGAAATCTAGAGGGACATTCGGCAGGAAGGACACTCAACGGCCCCACCAACGCCGATGGGAAAGCGCATCGTCTAGCGGTTCGAATTTGGAGAATTGCATTTTGCCAACCCGCACTCAGCCCTTTCCTCCTTCCTGCCACATCGCAGCCAGCAGCCTGTGGACTGCGCGATCGCTCATGTGGATAGCGAAAAGGATGGCGTCAACCAATGTCGGGTCCTCGCCCGCTCTCACCTTCGAGCTCGTCGCTCGCTGTTCAGTAAGCATCCCCCGCCTCCGTACTTTGACTCACAATCTTCATGTGATTCCTAGTTCGCATGTTAACGGTTTAGGCTAGACAACGAGAGCCCGCGCATCCATCCTGACGCTTCCTCACGGCCAGGTCCAGCTTCCGATATTCATGCCTGTCGCGACACAAGCTTCGCTCAAAGGCTTGACTCCCGAGCAGCTTGAAGAGACGGGCTGCCGCCTGTGCCTGAACAACACTTATCATCTCGGCCTGAAGCCCGGCCAAGACGTACTGGACAAGATCGGCGGCGCGCACAAGCTCCAAGGATGGAAACACAATCTTTTGACGGATAGTGGAGGGTACATATACCTTCTTGACTGGATTGCGAAGGTCTTCACCAGTTACTGACTAAGTCTATAGCTTCCAAATGGTCAGTCTCCTCAAGTTGGCGAAAATCACCGAGGAGGGTGTGCGCTTCCTCAGCCCCCACGATGGTTCGCCCATGCTTTTGACTCCAGAGCACTCCATGTCTCTGCAAAATTCGATTGGAAGCGACATCATGATGCAGCTCGACGACGTACTTGTCACGACATCACCCGACGCAGCCCGTATGCGCGAGGCCATGGAGCGAAGTGTAAGATGGTTGGATCGGTGCATCGCAGCGCACAAGAACCCCAAGACCCAGAACCTCTTCTGCATCATCCAGGGCGGTCTCGATCTCGAAATGCGACGGGAGTGCACACGGGAGATGTTGGCGCGCGATACCCCAGGCATCGCCATTGGTGGTCTGAGTGGTGGCGAGGCCAAGACGGATTACTGCCGTGTTGTCGAGACGTGTACCGAGCTGCTGCCGGATCTCAAGCCTCGATATGTCATGGGTATCGGATACCCCGAGGATTTGGTTGTGAGCGTCGCCCTGGGAGCGGATATGTTCGACTGTGTCTGGCCGACGCGGACAGCCCGGTTTGGCAACGCAATCACGAAGCACGGCGTACTGAACATTCGCAACTGGCGATATGAGAACGACTACGGCCCTATTGAGGAAGGATGTGGCTGTATCTGTTGCCGGAAGGGCGAGGGTGGTCTAGGTGTGACTAGGGCCTTCATCAACCATAATGCGGGCAAGGAAACGGTCGCTGCTCACCTGCTGAGCATACACAACGTCTGGTATCAGCTGAACCTCATGAAAGATATCCGGCAAGCTGTTATCGAAGACAGGTACCCTGCCCTTATTAGGCAGTTCTTCGGCGATCTTTACGACTATGACAAGTCAAAGTATCCAGAGTGGGCTGTTGAGTCTCTGAAGAGAGTAGGAGTCGATTTAATAAACGAGTAAACTCACGGCTGTCGTCAAGACTATTTCACGTTGAAGATGATTGAGACACTGGTGAAATTGTTTATTGATCACTGATACCGACTAAGCCCCCGAGACCAGTGCCTGCCCATGCTATTGAGCTGTAAGTCTTCCCTTGGTTGGGCCCCTCACATTAAAAGTCAATAAGGCAAGACGGCGTGTCCGAAACCATGCAGTTGAAAACGCCCATCGCTGATAATGATTCTTTGGCGTTGACTATAAGTTCAACCTGCAGCTACTTTGCCAAATGTCCGGTCGAGCTTACTGGCTGGACTTTCCCTCTGCCCAGAGCTTCTTGTGCGGCATTGACCATCCTCTTCTGCTCCTATATCTGGACGCCAAGACTCTTTCCTCCTAGCGGCTGCCGTATCGTTGCCCCAAGTGATTTTCGACCCTAACCCAAGGTTGTCCTGTTTCGCGGTTCCCACAATCATTCGGTTGCGAACTTCGGCTTCGAAGGCCAGTCGGTCCTTAATGTTCATCCGGGGGGGGGGGGGGGGGGTGTCTTGGAGTCTGTCGTGGATTCGGCTCAGACCGTCTGCGACTTTGAAAATCTAGGTGGTGTTCGGTCGGTGTAGGTACTCCACATCTTGCTCTGTGAGGACTTCAATCTACTTGGCGAGTTTGCCATGAACTTCCCCATTGTGTCCGAGCAAACGGAGTGAGCTCTGGCTCCATTCGAGATCCTCCTTAAGAGTGTCATCTTGTCGAGCAGACTGGCACCCTTTCCGCTTGAGTAAACCTCTTTAGCTTACGTTGAGCTCTCCGTCCGTTGGCTAATAGTGGTATCTCTTCTTCGCAGACGAGGTGTATTCTGGGACGAATGCCTAGAAGACGCTACGGTGCCTTGACTAACGGTGGCATCTTGTCTGAGCAGACTGGGCGGTTCGAAGCTTCCTTGGCCGAGAGTGGCATCTTGTCTCGGTAGACTGGGTGGTGCGAATCTCTCCTGGCCAACAGTGGCATCTTGTCTTCGCAGAAGAGGTGGGCCCTCGCCTTCGTGTCGCCGAAGACCGTCGCATCGAACCACCGTCACTACCACGGTGTGAGTAGATATCCTAGGTGGCAGTCGCTCGCGGGTATACGAGACGATGGCGTCAAAGACGCAGCCCATGAGCACCTTCAGGCGGCCAGCTTCTACACAGGCCTCGACCTGCCGCTCACTGAAAGCCAGTGTATCCTAGTGCGAAGGTAAATCAGCATCACTTCACTAATTACGAGTAAAAGGGGGTTGAAACCAAGAATGTGGTGAAGTACGTACATGTACGGGCTGGTGGGTCAGCCTGTCAAGGTCCTCAAAGCCAAGGATGAGGCGCCGGAATCTCCCTACAATCTCGAGAGTCTCCTCGAGACTTAAGGTATGCATGCTGTCGTTGGGTTCAGAATCCATCTCCAGGGGGGCCGGTCGAAGTGCGCGGGTGATTCGCGTCATCGCTTCATCAAAGCCCGTCCTTGTGCCGTCTTGCTCCCGAAGGATGTTCTCATAAATATCCCCGAGCATGCAGTCTAACACAGCCATGGTATAGGGCCGCAAAATCTGCTCTACTTCGTCCACAGTGGAGGTCAAAACCCTGAGTTCCTCTGGCGTCCTGAGACCGTCGTTTCTCTTAAACTCTTGGACCCTTGCCGCTAGCAACTTGGAGCGGTCTGCGAGCTGAAGCACATGGTCGAGTGGGAGGATTTCCCCGACCGGTATGTCCTGTATTGATTGAGACATTCTGTGTGTTGTATGTTCTTTCATTGTATTTCGGGTCCGAAGTCTCTCACGTCTTGAGAAGGTTTCGTCTCTTGGTAGTCGTCTTTATCTCTGTATGGAGGGGCTATCGTATTGAAGGAAAGAAATCTGATACCAATATATAGTGCTTTTCGTAAATGATTCGAAAGGCGGGCTCATTCAGTCATGCGGTTTCCCTCTATTATAGAAACCTCATTCACCCAACGGAGACACCCTTCCCAGGTGGCCTTAAACCTTAATATGCTATAGGAGTGAATCACTCGGCGTCCAGAATTTGTGGCAGCTGCATTGAAAAGGGTGGGAAACAAGCATTTGTGGCCTGACCGAGCTGTCTCCTTTCTCCTCTTCCTGTGGCCACCAACTGCTGCAGCCACAACATTTTGCGGCTCGGTGGCTGAAGCAGGTAGCAGGTAGCATGGTACGTGGCGGTCAACGCGGAAGAAGCCTAAGAGGTGGCAGAAATATCAACGTCAAGGGCTGCGAGCAGGTGACTGAATATATAATCAGACACGAAGAAACGCCTCTGAGTCGTTCATCTGATAAAGGGGCAAGCGAGGCAGAATCTACAGAGTGGATTGAAATGAGCAAACATTAGCACAATAATTGAGTTTGCATAGAGGGGATACGCCAGGAATACTGACAATCACACCAAACAGATGTTTTAGCGTCCCTTGCCCTGTCATCTCGGTTCCGACCAACTGGATCCTCATATGTGGCTCCGATAATGTACTCCGTAGAAACGGGCAATTCAATCGTTGATGAACCTCCGTCCGACGGTGTCAGGGTTGGGTGTTACAGATCTCAAGACTCAACAACCTGTCAATAAGGTATATTATTTGTCGCCGTTATGGTGCCTGCTCACAAATGACCCCTCCATACGTCCCAGACGCGCAGAAAGACCCTCCAGGTTGGTGGACGCCTGTTTCCGCTGATCAATCTATGGTTACGGAAGGTGGTACCCACCTTACCTTGGCTGTGGTCATGGAACGAGGCGCACCACCTCCGTATTCTACCCAGGTACCTCGCCTGGCAGAAAGGAGGCGGTAGTGGCGTTCTGCTCCTTCCTTCTCATCGAAAGAGGCAGGCGTACCTTCCACACGTGCCATGAGAAGCCTTGATACACCCCCTCAAACCCATTCCTGTCACCAGCCAGCAGGCGCCCGTCTAGGTCGACGGGTCAGGTCAAACTGGCTGGGTGGTGGAGTGGTTAATGGTCAACGATCAAATCGCCAACCAGCCTACTCGACGACAGGCTAAGCGCATACGA